CGGGGAGACGGGCCGGGAAGCGGGTGTGCGGGTGGGGCTGGGGCCGGCCTGGCCTGGAGGACGCGGGGCCTCGAGGAGCGGTCCGGGCAGGCGGCCGGGCGGGGGGGGCTCGTGAGGCTTGGGGGTCCTCCCGAGCGCCCGCAGACGGTCGGCGTGGCCAGCGACAACCGGACGGCCCTGGGGATTCCGCGTCCTTCCCGGCCGGTGGTCGGGGTGGACGAGTCTGCGAGGAGGGGGAGGGCCGCGTGCCCCGGGCGGGATGCCGGTTCTGGTTCCGCCCCAGTGGAATACACGGACTGAGTTCAGCGTTCCCACCGGTTCTTAAAGACGAGGTCCCCGGTTGGTTTTGCAAGTGGCTGACTAGCCCCTGGCTGCTTTGTGTCCTTGGGGTCAGTGTCCGGCCCTGTCGCCCAGGCTGGAGTGCAGTGGCACGGCCTGCTGGGCTTAGGTGGTCCTTCCACTTCCGCCCCCCGAGTAGCTGGGACCACAGGCCCGCACCACCACGCCGGCAAACTTTGAGGCTTTTTGTAGAGACAGAGTGTTGCCATGTCGTCAAGGCCGGTCTCGACCCCCTGGGCTCAAGCAGTCCTCCTGCCTCTGCCTCCCAACGTGCTGAGCTCATGGGGATGAGCCATCGTGCCTGTCCAAGTGCCTCACTTTCTAAGAAAACTGTATTTATTTGAGTTAAAAGAGCAATGGGCGTTGGGGGTGGGTTTTGTTGATTTGGTCTTCCCAAATGAGAATGACCTAGAAAAGATGAACTAGCCTCAAAGGGCAAAGCGAGAGGAGGCTGAGGTGGGGACGGTGACAGAAATGAAAAGGAAAGACAGTCCAAGGAGGATGTGGAATAGTCCACGGGATGCCTGTTTCCCTTCTCCTCCTCACGGCAGGAAGAATCCCGGTGCCGCACCATCTGTGCTTCAGCTGACCCTTCACCCAGCCCTCCCAATGGGCAGGGCTGGTAGAGGAGGAGACAGACTCAGTCTTGAGTGGGTGCGCGGAATCACGCAGTCCAGTGTCACGGCAGCTCGCTGAAGCCGTCTAGGCTGAGGTGAAGCTCCAAGGGGGTGGCTTGTTCCCGATATTTTCAGCTTCGTGTGGCAGAAGAAGCCACATTAAATCACAGGAGGAGCACCAAATCCAATCCCTGCTCACGTTGCAGATGGGGAAACTGCTATTTGTGACCCAGAAGTCACTCCAAATGTAGGCGAGCTCATTTGAGCGTGTTCAGCTATTACCTTTCTCTCTCCCCAGGATCCTTAACGACAGAAAGTTCTTCCCACTGGCTGCTGAGCAAGGGGAAAGAGCTCTGTTGAGGACCCCAGAGTTGAGTTTACTCTAAGACATTGTTAGAATCATAGGAGGTTTCTTTCTTCCATAACTTTTTGTTTTTTGGGTTTTTGGGAGTGTTGTCTGGCCGGGGGACTAAAAACAGTCTCTTCCTCATGGAAAGTAAGTAAATGGAGTGAATGAATAACCAGCCAATTACAATTTACAGGTAGCAGCAGCACCTTGAAGAGGAACTGGACAGAGTGGATCCTTAGTGTAGCAGAGAGATGGAGAACAGACAGGGTGTGAGTATTAAGGAGTGGTTTCAGATACGAGCTCGGTTTGTCCTGGTTCTGGGGATGATCCCAATGCCTGTCACCTGCCTCAGCTTGTCTTGATGTTGTGTAGCATACACAAGGGGTGGGAGAGAGTCTGTTGCAGCCAGTAGACTCGGCACATTCCCCAGTTGTTTCCATTCGTGGTGAGTATTGGCCATGGGCGGCATTTGTGCTTTGGTGTTGTCAGGAACAGTGGGGATGAGGCAGCAGGCACATCAGCATTGTGTTTGCCAACAGGCCTCAGTCAAAATGATGCACAGCTGGTTCTGAGGGAACCTTCGTGAAAAGAGCCTTGGCTGTAGGCATGGAGAGCAGCACAGGCATACCCGAATGTGCTCAACAGTAACTCTTTTTCTAGGGCAGACTAGAGGGTAACTGAGTCCTAGTTTCTGCAGTCTGTGATAAAGATCCACAAAAGGAATTACATAATGGATTGGGATTGCATAGGCATCAGCTAGTGTTAAGGGACATGCTGCCTCAAGTCAAGAGGTTATCATGTGTGGTCACATGCGGAAATATTGTTTATTTACTTTTGAATGTAGTCTCATTCTGTCATCCAGGCTAGGGTTCAGTGGCACAATCATGACCCACTGCAGCCTCAATTTCCTGGGTTCAGGCAATCTTTCTGCCTCAGCTTCCCAAGTAGCTGGAACTACAGCTACATACCAGCATGCCCATCTAAAGTTTTTGATTTTTTTTTTTTTTTAGTTGAGATGAGTTTTCACTCTGTTATCTAGGCTGCTCTTGAACTCCTAGGCTCAAGTAATACCCAGTTGGCCTTCCAGCATTATGGGGTTACTGGTGTGAGCCACTGCTCCTAGTCTGGAAAGACTCTAAACTTGTTTTCTGGGAATTCACTGGTATCTTGAGTGGCTTGCATTTCGGAATTTCAGATTTTTTCTGGAACATTTAATGGTAAAGGAAGCAGAGTTGGGGGAAGGGAAGCAGTTGCTTTTCCTTAGCACATTTTCTAAAAGATACATCTTTCTTTTGGAAAATCTAAGAAGTCAACAGATTTTGATCTGTTTACTTGATAGTTGTTAAGACTGTTTTACAAGACCACAAGTGGAAGCACTGGAAGAGCAAGATAGGAGACACAAATTAGAGTGATCCTCTTTTTCGTGTGTTCACTCGTACACCAATCAAAATTGCAGCTGCTGTGCCCCCTCCCTACCTAGCTCCACCTGCAGCAGAGCCAGAGATGCCTTGCCATATTTACAGTAAGTCCCCTACATATACCAGTGAGCTCAGTTCTGAGAACGCTATCCTAAGTCCACTTTGTTCATAAGTCCAACAAGTTTAGCCTAGGTACTCAACTAGTACATAGGCTATATAGTACCAGCTACATCACCACTACTTTTACACTTGCTTCCTGACATCCTGGGCTTGAAAGAAAGATACTGTACTCTGTACAGTACTTTGAAGTACACAAAAGCACAACACAACCGCTTGTAGAGGATGCACACATGTGACAGTGTACACAAGACACATGAACTAGTGTGTCTGGACTACACACATGTGACTGGACATGCGAATGCACATTCAAATCTTTGTCACAACTTGAGGATTCATATGTAGAGGATTTACTGTATTTAATTTAACAATTAGGTTTGATGCTTTGTTTTTCATTTCAGAAATCATAGGGGTAGTCAGTCTCACTCTGTTGCTCATGGCCACCCCAGCATCAACCTGCAGGGCTCAGGCAATTCTTCTGCCTCAGTCTTCCAAGTAGCTGGAACTATAGGAGCATGCCACCATGCCTGGCTAATTTTTTGATTTATTGTAAAGATGAGGTCTCACCATGTTGCCCAGGCTGATCTCGAACCCGTGGACTCAGGCAGTCCCCTCATCTCAGCCTCTCAAAGCACTGAGATTACAGGCTTGAGCCACCGTGTTCTCAGATTAGGTCCTATAATTTTTGGAATGATAAATGAACACTGGCTTCAACTTAAAGTCGTCAGCTACATTGTCCCCTAAGAAGAGAGTCAGCCTGTCTTTTGAAGCTTTGAAGCTAAGCATTGACTTGTCCTCTCTAGCTATGAAAGTCTGGGCTGGGAGACTAGGCAAGGTCCACTTGCCAACTGAAGCTCCCAGTTTGCTACCCTGTCTGGCCTGAAAGGAAAAGAGTTGAAGGTGGGAAAGGGTGAAGGTACTGGCGGACTGTAGAGGATGGCCTTAGGCATAAAGATCGAGCTTCCCCAAGGAGGAAATCTGAAACTTAAATTATTCCCAGGATGAGAATTCCCGGTGCGAGGCATGATGGTTTGGTCCCCCCCATTAGGAATCATCTCCTATGCGTCAGCTCCAGAGTGAGCTGAGTGTCCTAGCCCCAGCTGGGTTGGAGACAGGACAGTATTTAGTAAATGGGAAGACTCTCAAATCGGGCCAAGATACAGTGGATAGATCCATGGTCCTGAGATAGAAGAGTCTCAGAGAGCAGCCCTGTGGTGAGGACACACACCGTCACCACCACCACTCAGCTTCTGTGGAGTGGGGTACAAGTGAGACTATACTGGGTCTAGCAGTTTCCAAAATCACCAGTTCTTGGGAATCCTACCTGAAGCTGTATTTTCCTCTCTCCCAGTTCTTGAGCGAAATTCTTTGCTTACCTTTCCTGGTGCAGGTTTTTAAATGCCTCCAAACTGACTAATCGGATTCTCTTAATGTCTTCCTTCCCCAGTTTTCCTATCACTTTTTACAAGTTAATTTTACATTCGGCCAGGCTGGGTGGCTCAGCCTGTAATCCCGTGCTTTGGGAGGCCGAGGTGAGTGAATTGCCTGAGCCCGCGGGTTTGAGACCCGCCTGGGCAACTTGGTGAGACCTCATCTCTACAATAAAAATCAAAAAATTAGCCGGGTGTGGTAGCACACGCCTGTAGTTCCAGCTACTTGCAAGGCTGAGGCGGAAGGATCGCCGGAGCCCAGCAGGTCGAGGCTGCGGTGGCTGGGAGCGGTCACTGCACTCCAGTCTGGGCAACTGAGTAAGACTCCAACTCAAAAAAAAAAAAAAATTTTTTTTTTACATTCTTATTTCAAGGTAAGTTCTTGCAGTATAACCTATTCCTTTGTGTTCTCCACCCATTATCTAAATCTCATTCCTCTGTTGAGATTGTGGATGCATAGGTCAAGTTTACCTGATACAGCTCTATAACTAATAAGAAACAATCATCAGTCAAACGTTTTAAGGACTGTCTTCTCTCCTCCCTGTCCTCCCACCGCCCCTACCCTTCCCAGGTCACTCCACCTCTGATCCTGGCCATCACAGTTGCTACAATTGGCTCTTTCCAGTTTGGCTACAATACTGGAGTCATTAATGCTCCTGAGATGGTGAGTGCCAACAACAAGAATTAGAATTTAGAATATGGAAGTTACTCCTCTAATACAAGTAGGGTTTTGTGAATTCAGAATTTCAGACTGGTGTGGCTCATACCTATAATCCCGGCTACTTGAGAGGTGGAGGAAGGAGGATTGCTTGAGCTCAGGAGTTCAAGCCCAGCCCGAGCAACATAAGGAGTATTCTAAAAAACAAATTAAGAAAAAAAAGTTTTTTGAATTAAGACAAATTTTGTGCCTAGCCTGGCTAAGCCAGAAGAGAGAGAACATATTGGTGGGAAAGTCTAGTGGCGTCAATAAAAGCAGAAAGGCATTTGCTCTCTAGAGCCTAAGCAGTATCTTTTCTTCCTCTCCCACTCTCATCCCAAGGTGATACACTTCCTATTATTCCTTAGGAGTTAGTTACAAAGGATGAGGGGTGGCTCTTAGGAGAGGTCAGGGGTAGCCAATGAACAGCAGTGCTGCCACCTACTGAGATTCTCAGGATCAATAAAAAGTTTCCCATTTCAAAGATGGTAGCATCTACTCCAGTGTATTATGTGCAACTTCCTTCCCCATCTGTCCATTCCCTTGATTTTCTACCTACAAGGTAATCGTGAAACTGGTCTCTAATATTTTAGGGAATAAATGATCTCTAATGTTTGTATCTTTGTCCCCAATGTAACAGTCTTTCCACCAACCATTTTATTTTACAGATCATAAGGAACTTTCTCAATTACACTTTGAATAATAAATTAGGAAACCCTCCCTCTGAGATGGTGCTCACGTCCCTGTGGTCTGTGTGTGTGGCCATCTTCTCCGTTGGTGGTATGATTGGCTCCTTTTCCGTTGGCCTCTTTGTCAACCGCTTTGGCAGGTATTGACCAGAAACTGGGCAAGAAGTGGGATCTTCTGGCTGCATTGAGGACAACTATAGAGAATTAGGGCAGGGAGGTAATGATGTGTTTGCATGAGAATACATCAAATTTTCAAGAAGGGAAACCTAGTCCAACTGGCCCTGAATATAACTGTTCTTGCTTGTAGCTCTGTTAGCATACATATCTCTCTCCCAGGCTTGCAAGAAATAAGCCATGTGAATGATTGGCTTTTGCAGTTCAGCTTAGGCTAGTTCAGAGTTATTCTCTAGTAATTTCAACTATGAGAGTTCCCAGAAACATGCTTAATTGACAGGGTCCAAAGGTGTTTGCTTTTCTAAAACATATGTGGTTTCAAACAAGTGTTTTCATTACCTGCAGGATTGGTAGGAATATTCTTCTAATTCTTGATCTGTGGCATATGTGGATAATGGCCAAATAACTGAACTGAAATCTCCCCAGAGAGGAAAACTGAATCTTCTCAGTCTACACTAGCTTAATATGACTTAGAAGGTAGACTGTAGTTTCGGTGAAGACTGATGAAGGAAGCACTTTAGTTTGCTAATTAGATGTTCTAGGAATGCAAATGGAATTGAAGTTAAAAAAAAACCCAATAAGGCAGCATATTTTATTTGATAATGCTTAATTTCTGGGTTTTTTTTAAACAAAAACTTCTTGCTATGTTGCCCATGCTGGACTTGAACTCATGGTCTCAAGCAATCCTCTAGCTTCAGTCTCCTTGGCAGTTGGGAATCTAGACATGCACCACTGTGCCAGGCTCCCAACTAGAAATGCTCTGACAAGAGAAAGTAAAAAAGAGAACCTAGACCAAAAGAGAAGACATGAGTCTGGAGAAAAGCAGAATAAAGAGGAAAGGAGAGAGAGTTGCAGCCTGTTCACTTTGCTAACCTCATTTTGTCTTGGATTCACCTTCCAGGCGCAATTCAATGCTGATTGTCAACCTCTTGGCTGTCACTGGTGGCTGCCTTATGGCATTCTCAGAAATGGCTGTGTCAATTGAAATGCTGATCCTGGGCCGCTTGGTTATCGGTCTCTTCTGTGGACTCTGCACAGGTTTTGTGCCCATGTACATTGGAGAGGTCTCTCCCACTTCCCTGCGGGGTGCCTTTGGCACTCTCAACCAGCTGGGCATCGTCATTGGGATTCTGGTGGCCCAGGTACTCTAGAGCTTCTCATACTTGAGGATGGTTAGTTTCATGGCTCTTAAAAGAGTTAACATTGGCAAAGCACTCGAGGATGTCTGGCACGTGTTCAGTTATATATGGAAGTTTCAGATATTGTTGTTGCTATAGTTCCCAGATAGTAATAACTAAAGAAGCAGGAAGGATAGAGAAAGGAAAAGAAGCACAATGTGTTTATCTTTTCCTGTTGTTAAAAAAAAAATGGATGACTTTCTGAACCTTTTTTTTTGTTTTTTTTAATGAACTTGTGGCCTTTGAAGTATGGGTTAATAGCATGATCTCTTTCTGGTTTCTAGATCTTTGGTCTGGAAGCCATCTTGGGGACTGAAGAACTATGGCCCGTACTTTTGGGCTTTACCATTCTTCCTGCTGTCCTACAAAGTGTGTTCCTTCCATTTTGTCCTGAAAGTCCTAGATTCTTGCTCATTAACAGAATGGAAGAGGAGAAGGCTAAGCGGGGTGAGTATCCTTCACACTTCATTAGAGGGAGCTTAGGGTTGTGGTTTGTTTGAAGGATGAGGGTATTGGATCTGTTTTTTTGTCATCCCTTTCCCTGCCTGATCAGAACCCAAGGAAAGAGTGTTCTAATTACTCTGGAGGAATAACAAAGAACCAGGTGAGAAGGCAGATTCAGGCATGGATGCTCAGTGATCACTGCGTCTTGTGTGGCTTCTTCCCAGCTGTCATACAGCAAAAATGAATTTGGGGCAAGCGTTATCTTTATCCTTTCCTCTTTGTTCTCTTCCCCAGTCCTCCAGCAGTTGTGGGGAACCCACGATGTGTCGCAGGACATCCAAGAGATGAAGGACGAGAGTGTCCGGATGGCACAAGAAAAGCAAGTGACGGTGCTCGAGCTCTTCAGAGTCCCCAGCTACCAACAGCCCATCATCATCTCCATCATCCTCCAGCTGTCTCAGCAGCTCTCTGGAATCAACGCTGTGAGTATCTACTTTGGGGTCAAAGGTGTCCTACCGTACTTCACTTAAAACGTTTGACCAGAGATCAGTGGGCATTAGGTGTTGCCCACCTTCTTTTTTGCTTTTTTTGAGTCGGAGTCTCACTCTGTCGTCCAGGCTGGAATACAGTGGCACGCTCATGTCCACCGCAGCCTCTACCTGCTGGGTTCAGGTGATCCTTCTGCTTCAGCCTTCCAAGTAGCTGGAAGTACAGGTGTGCGCTACCATGCCCGGCTAAATCTTTTTGATTTATGTAGAAACGTATCGCCATGTTACCCAGGCTGGTCTTGAACCCCTGGGCTCAGGCAATTCTCTCGCCTCAGCCTCCCAAAGTGCTGGGATTAAAGGCATGAGCCACCGTGCCCGGCTTTTTTTTAATCTTTTTTCTTTTTATTTTTTGAGTTGGAGTCTCACTTGGTCACCCAGGCTGGAGTGCGGTGGCTCATGGCCACCCCAGTGTCGACCTGCTGGGCTCCGGCGATCCTTTCACCTCAGCTTTCTAAGTAGCTGTACTACAGGCATGCACTACCACGCCTGGCTAATTTTTTTATTTATTGTAGAGATGAGGTCTTGCCAGGTTATCCAGCTGTTCTCGAACCCATGGGCTTAGGCAGTCCCCTCACTTTGGCCTCCCAAAGTTCTGGGATTACAGACTTGAGCCACTGCGCCTGGCCTTTGTTTTTTTTTTTTAAAGACAAGGTCTCACTCTGTCGTCCATGCTTTAGTGCAGCAATGCCATAATAGCTCACAGTAACCTTACGTGACTGGGCTTGAACTATCCTCCCATCAGCCTCCTAAGTAGCTAGGACTGCAGGTGCATGCTACCTTGCTTGGTTAATTGTATTTTTTTTGTAGATACAGCGTCTTGTTATGTTCCCCAGGCTGGTCTCAAACCATCCTCTTGCCTCTGCCTCCCCAAAGCACTGGGAATACAGGCCTGAACAACCATGCCACTCAGAAAACATTGATTATCTGAGTTCTGATTGAATTATTTTTTGTTTCTTACAATTATATCTCTAGTACATATTTTACATGTGAAAAAAATGAGAAAATAGATAAAGTGAAAAATGTAAGTCCACCCTTGCAACTTATGGTTAACATTTATCCTCTTATTTTCATTACTCTGTTTTTAACCACAGAATAATGTGATAATTTAAAATTTTTTTAATTTCCAGGCCTCTCTAACATCAACCTGTATTGTATGCTGGCATCAATATTAGGATGTAGGCCATACGACCTAATTAGACCCTTTAATTTATTTTTATTTTTTATTTTTATTTATTGTTTTTTTGAGTTGGAGTCTCACTGTCGCCCAGACTGGAGTGCAGTGGCTGCTCCCGGCCACCACAGCCTCTACCTGCTGGGGCTCCGGCGATCCTTCCGCCTCAGCCTTCCAAGTAGCTGGAACTACAGGCGCGTGCTACCACACCTGGCTAATTTATTTTTTGATTTATTGTAGAGATGAGGTCTCGCTGCCCAGGCGGGTCTTGATCCCGTGGGCTCAGGCTATCCACTCACCTCAGCCTCCCAAAGGCGCGGGATTACAGGCTGAGCCACCGAGCCCGGCTGACCCTTTAATTTATATGCCTTGGCTTTTTTTACCAGGACTTTACAGTCCAAAATCAGTCAAGACCCTGGGGATAAATAGGAGATCAGTTCAAGAAGCCTGGAGGGACATTGGTAATTTCAGACTGAGCTGGCCTTACTGGTCTATATGTTGTTTACCACTAGAATGGTGAGTATGATAGTGTAAAGTGGATGGCAGAATGGAAGCTAGCAATTGCACATAGACCTTGTATCCTATGCAAATATCAGCTTCCTGCTTTTGACTATGGGTTATGGGAAGAGAAACTATTCCTCTACCTTCTATACCTTCTATGCATTTGTGGATAAAATATGGCTATGAAGAGCACCCTTGTCCTACCTCTTTAAATACTGATTCATCCCTTGAGGGTTTGCTTTAAGTCCTTTTGTAAGAAAGCATTTTACAAAACATACTTGATGCTCAAAATAGTACCTGGTTCTTGATCTTTCCTCCTGCCTAACACTCCAAGACATTTGTATTTGGAGTAGCAGTGTTTCTTATGCAGGGTTAGAGGCTGTTTTTGTCAGAACCTAGGCATGGTCACACATGTCTGTAGTCCCAGCTATCTGCAAGGATTGTGTCCAGCCTGGACAACATAGTGAGACCACATCGCTTGAAAAAACAAAAAACCTAGGAGGAAAGATGGAGTATTTTGAAAAAGCCTCCTAGTGATTTAGTTGGAACCTAGTCCCAAATTTTCTCATTTGAAAATGATTATGTGGGACATACATTATATTACTCAAATAAAATATGCTCCCAAGACTTTCCAGAGCAGCAGAGCTAGAACTAGGCTTATGAGGCACCTACATGGAAGTGTGCTCTGAGAATGAGCACCTTTAACAAAAGCACCTTGCATGGTTCTGTGCTTATTTAAAAAGAAAAAAAAAAAAAGAATTCACGTGAGGCACCTTTCTGGTTGCCTAACCCCAGTCCTGGGCCTGTAAAACAGGATCAGAAAATATTGCCTATGACCAGGCATGGTGGTCCACACCTGTACTTCAAGCTTACTCGGGAGGCTGGAGTGGAAGGATTACTTGAACCCAGGAGTTCCAGGCCAGCCTGGGAACATAGCAAAACCATATCTCTTAAAACAAATAAGATCACCCACCGACAGTCACAAATGATCGATGAGCACTCTTTGGGACAGGCTCCTCCCGGTTTAGGAAATGATGTTGAGATAGGAAAAAAAAAAGAGGAATTAAGCAGGAAAGCTGACTTTTTATCTTAAGTAAGCAACTGCTTGCCATCTCTGCTTCTATAAATACTCTGTAAGTGCCTACATGCCCTTTTCCTTAACTGCAATCTCTGTTTCTGTAAACACGCTTTATTACACTTCATACGGAAATGTCCTTAAAAATGTCTGTTTCAATGCTTGTTGTAGAAGTAGAAGTAACTGTTCCCGATCCTAAATTTAAAATTGTAAATCCACCAATGGCAACCCCATGTACGTTATAACCAAAAAGCTCTACAAAAGCAGCTTGCACTGAGGGTCAGGGCTCAGGTTTTGGGAAGCTACTCCACTTGAGACTTCTGGAATAAACACCTTGGATTCTCCTCTCAGTCTGAGTGCATTCATTCCTGTTCCCGGTGAGTTGCTGCAGTTGCTATAACAATGTGTCATTCATTATTGTTGGACTAAGATGGCTCCCCAGTGTAGTCACTGAGCAGATTTTGCCCTGGGTCTGATCTAACCCAGAGCCAACCGAACTGGGGTCAGGATTCCTGAGTCTACTGAGTCAAGAATCTTTCCCGTAAGAGGCCTGGAAAGTGTCTGTAAGAAATAAATCTGATGCACAGCCGGCCTGAAGATCACTTTTGTAACCTACTTTGGAGCAAACCATGTTTTCTAATTTCCCTTAAAGGCTGAAGGGTGAGGCTGGGTAGTGTTTACCTAGCAGAGTAAACTGCTTTTAGGTGAGATGATGTTGGGGTTAGCTTACCTAGCTTGATAGCCCTAGATATCAAGGTAATTCTCCTGGGAGAAATTTTCTTGACATAGGTACATATACATTCAGGTTTTGATGTGGAGACATTTTGATATGGAAGAGAATTGGCATAACTATCTATCGTTGGTTTCACTTGGTCAAATGTCTTTCCCCACACACTTTATGTCATCATAAAATATTATATTAAGATTTTTAAAGTTTTTGTTTGCTTTTTGTCAGAGTTCTTTCTTGAGAGAATAAATCCCAAAGTAGAGATATCTATTGATCAAGAAGACTGAGAAATATTGCTGTGGAGGCAAATACTTGGTGCAATAAAGTGAACTGAACCTAGGTGATCTAGATAATGTTCCCTTGTCACCTTAGGGTCTGAGTCCAATATTTTGATATTTCTTTAACTGTGGTAGTTGTAGCAACCCTACATTTTAGTGCAGTGGCTACAAGTAATAGTTTATTTAATATATACATTTAACAAAAATACTTGGTATTACTTCCTAAAACACTTGGAACATACCTTGGGCTTCGAAATCCAGCCCAACCCCAGTTTATTAAATGAGCAGGCTAAGACTGTGCAGTTAGTTCACCATCAAATTGGGACATCAGTATGCCTGTAAATGTTTTGCAGGTTTGGGGAAGAGTCCTTTGAAAAAGCGTTTAGCTGTGTGTGGTGGCAGACGCCTATAATCCCAGCAACTCCAGAGACTAAGGCAAGAGAATCTCTTGAAGAGTAAAAGTAACACTAGGAATAAGCACAGTTAGAAAAAAATAGAAATAGAAAGCTAGAATTGAGAGGGTTCCAGAGAGAATGGAGATAAGATACAGAGGAAAATTCATTTGTAGAAAGGATGTTGTGATTGAACAGAAACCCTGGAAAAAGGACTTCTTACCTCCAGGGACATTTAAGGGTTTTTTTAGGACTCTATTTAACTGATATGCACAGTTGTATCAAAATTGCATGTTTTGTTTTCTTTTAGGTGTTCTATTATTCAACAGGAATCTTTAAGGATGCAGGTGTTCAGGAGCCAATCTATGCCACCATCGGTGCGGGTGTGGTTAATACTATCTTCACTGTAGTTTCTGTAAGTCAGATGGCACAATAATTTTGGGGAGAGAAAAGATTAATTGCAACAGTTATTCAAGATGGATTTTATATCCTTCAACCTCCCTACTCTCATTTAGTTAGACTTTTTTTGTTGTTTGATTCCTCTTTGGGGGAAAAAAAGCCATACACTGAATGATGGGTTGAAGAATCTCCCCTCTTCAAGCATCCGGGAGGGATGGGAAGGGAGCAGTGTAGAAGGGATGATATAGGATGCTTTGACCTCTGAATTGGAGAAGGGTGGTGTTTGGAAAACTCTCAAACCCTATTGTTTTTTTTACTAAAACAACAAGAATGATCAACACAGAAAACTTCTGTGACCCCAAAATATATTGGAATTTCTCCCCACCAGTAAGCAATCAATCATTTATGTAGCAGACTCCAGCTGGGTGTCCTCTAGTTTAATTCCAACACTGTCTGCCTAGAATAGAGCCAGATCTCACGTTTGAGGGCTCAACTCCCAAGGCACTCCCCTTTCCCTGACATCAGTCATAGGTTCGGGCCTCCAGAACTGCTGACCAACTGACTGTAAGTTGGGATTCTAACAACCCTATTTTGGGGTTTGATTAATTTGCTAGAGTGGCTAACATAACTCAGGGAAACACATTTACAGATTTATTATAAAGGCTATTTTAAAAGATATAAATAAACACCCGATAGGTACATAGGGCAAGGTTTGGAAGGATGCCAAGGTCAGGAGGTTCTGTCTCTGTGGAGTTGGGGTGCGCCACCCTCCCAGCATGTTGCTGAGCTTGGGTTAACCATCTTGTCAGCCCCTCTATGTGTAGCTATCCCGAAGCTCCCCATACCCTGTCCTCTGGTTCTGTTATGGAGACCTTGAATTGTATGGAAATATGAAACAAAAAGGGCATGACTAAACTCAGTCGGGCATATCTGTTTAGATTATTTTTGGACTCTCTGTGTAGCATTTCTTCCTGCAGAACACTCTTTGAAATGAGGGAACTACTAACCATAAGGAGATTAGAGTTCTGTCAAGTGGGCAGTTGAAAGGAAGGCAGGAGAAGGTTAGAGAGAGAGATTCTGTGTTCTGAGGCTTGCAACTTCCCAACATTATAACAAAGGACAGTAGCAAGGTATATGGGAGTTATGAGCCAGGAACTATGGGGGGGGGGAACGTGTATAGATGTGATAATATCACAGGAGGTATGACTGTTACAAATTTCCTGCTATTGATAAGGCATATTCCAGGTGATTTCATAGAAGAGACAACAGACTGTTTCACTTATATTCTTCTTTTAGCTGTTTCTGGTGGAGAAAGCAGGCAGAAGGACTCTACATATGATAGGCCTTGGAGGGATGGCTTTTTGTTCTCTCCTCATGACTGTTTCTTTACTACTAAAGGTGAGTGCTCTTTGAAGAAAAGGGAGGGAAGAGGGAAAGGAGAGTTTACAGTTGACTCTCTGTGACACAGAGGTGGGCTGTTAAGGTTGGAGAGCATCAGCAAAGTGAAATTTGAGAGAAACTAGAAGCTCAGATTTTTGAGCAAGGTGGATCACCTGAGATAGTGTTAAGGATCACAAGTTCTGCTACTCACTGCTTTTAGGCCGAAATGGACAAGCGTGAGGTGTTGTGCAAGGAGCGTGACTTTATTCCAAAAGCCAGCAGGTGCCTCGAAGAACTCATTTCAAAATCTTAGGCTGCGGGTAAGGGATTTTATAGGGAAAGAATGAAATAAGGAGTATTTGCAGGTGGTGCAGGATACAGGGTTATGTGTCTCGCTTCGACGATCATCCTGAACTGCCGCCCAGCTGGAGAGCTGCCTGACATCATCTCAATTGTGGTCAGGTTACAGAATAACCTCCCAAGGGTTACTTCTGAGTTTTGCCATGGGGTCTTCAGGCACAGATGACTTCTGAATTTCTCAAGCAAGTACACAGTTAGAGCAATGGGTATGTGCTTAATTATAATCATAGGATCGTTGTATAGCAGGAGTCCGGAAAGGAAAGGCGGGGGGGGAAGTGTCTCTGCAAGCTGGTTTGTGAAGTTAACCACAAGGAAAAAAATAAGTTTCAAAAGCTAGCATTCTTGGTTACAACAGGCAAACTGTTATTATCCATACATTTACATAACATTATAGGATGTAAAATTATCTAATTCTTAAAATGACATTGACTTAATCCCATATTATAGGTGATAAAATGGTCTCAGTTCAAAATGGCATATGTGAGATCACATAGCTAGGATTCTAAAACACAAGGCTTCGGCTCCAAGTCCAGTTAACCGCGTTACAGCACCGGACAGAAGGACTTGCTGTTCAGTCAGCACTCACCTCTGGAAGCTGGCTTCTCAGTCATGTTGTCGTCAGTGTTAACTTCCGTTCTTACTTCCATTTACAGGATGAGTATGATTGGATGAGCTATGTCTGCATTGGGGCTATCTTGGTCTTTGTGGCCTTCTTTGAAATTGGACCAGGCCCCATTCCCTGGTTTATTGTGGCCGAACTCTTCAGCCAGGGGCCCCGCCCAGCTGCAGTGGCTGTGGCCGGCTGCTCCAACTGGACCTCCAACTTCCTAGTTGGCTTGATCTTCCCCTCTGCTGCAGTAAGTAAACTCAACCTATCTTAAAGCCAGACTGCATCAGCTGACATGTTGAAGAAACGCATTAACAATACAGTAGTGTCCCCTCATCTGCAGTTGCAGTCACCTGCAATTCAATTGAAAATTTCAGAAATAATTTATAAGTTTTAAATTGCACACTGTTCTGAGTAGATGAAATCTTGCTCTGTCTGTCCCAGGATGTGACTCCTCCCTTTGTCCAGCGGATCTACGCTGTCTATGTTCCCTGCTGATTGCCCGTTAGTCACATAGCAGCCATCTTAATGATGAGATCGACTGCCACAGTTTCTCAGTGCCTGTGTCCAAGGTACCCTTATTTTACCTCAGAATGGCCCCAAAGGGCAAGAGTAGTGATACTGGCAATTCAGGTATGCCAAAAAGAAGCTGTAAAGTGCTGCATTTAAGTTGACAGTGTGAAAGTTCTTGACTTCATAAGGAGAGGAGAAAAAAATCGTATGCTGAGGTTGCTGAGATCTACAGTAAGAACGATCTCTGTTCGTGAATTTGTGAAGAAGAAAATAGAAATCTGTGCTAGTTTAGGTGCTGTACCTCAGACTGCAAAAATTGGGACAACAATGCACAATAAGTACTTAGTTAAGATGGAAAAAGCATTAAATTTGTGGATGGAAGATATAAAGAGAAATGCATTCTGATTGACAGGAGTGGAGTTCAGTGCTGTCTGCGATGAGGAGCACCACTGGGGATCTGGGGGTCTACCCTCCATAAGTAAAGGAGGTCTAGTCCATGGGGGAATCTAACATTTTAAGACCCCAGTGGATGCCTACCTATGCTGTACTGGTTTTTCCTATACATACATACATACATACCTAAGATAAAGTTTTAACTTACATATTAGGTATAGAAAGATTTATTTTATTTTTCTGACAGTGTCTCTGTTGCACAGGCTGGAGTGTTATGGCACTCTCATAGCTCACAGTAACCTCAGATTTGGGGCTTAAGCAATCCTCCTGCCTCAGCCTTCTTTGTAGCTAGGACTACAGGGGCATGCCACCACACCTGGCTAATTTTTAACGTTTTTTGTAGAAATGGAGGCCTTGCTATGTTGCCAACGCTAGTCTTGAATGCCTGGCCTCAAGCAGTCCTCCTCTCTCAGCTTTCCACAGTGCTTGGATTACAGGAGTGAGTCACAGTACCTAGCCACAGAAAGAGATTTTAAAATAATAGTTCTAACAATATACTGTAATAAGAGTTATGCAAATGTGGCCTTTCTTTCCCTCTCTCTCAAAATAACCGGTTGTACTGTATTGATCTTTCTCTAGTGATCTGTCAATCTGATAACCAATATGGTTCTCATGTTACCAATGTATGGGCACCCTATACAGTGTGGATACAGTGGACAAAGGAATGATCCGTGTTCTGGGAGGGAAAGAGTAAGATTTTATCATGCTACTCAGAAGGCTATGTAATCTGAAACTTACGAATTGTTTATTTCTGGAATAAATGGTTTAGAGTGTGGATAACTGAAACTGCAGAAATTTTGGATCAAGTAGGACTACTGTAGTTACTAACACCATGAAAGATTAGATATTAAGGGCTTTAAACCCAGTTTCCCCCCTCATTTTCAGTGACATATAGAGAAAAGAAAACAACAACAACAAAAGATTAAACTGGAAGGAAACTAGGACCCTTCAAAGGGCCATTGGTCTAAGATGATGCAGGCACAGTTTTGCCTAGAAACACAATGACAGTGATGAGTCTCAAAGGGCTCTAAACCAATACTTAAAATCCATAACTTGAATTAGCAATAATAGCTTCATAGTTTTAAAGGTTCACTAAGCTTAGGTTGTTCAATCAGATAGGTCCTGTTATAAAATGACCTGAGCTGATTTGTTTCATAGAGGAACTTGCAGCGGACATCTAGAATACACTTTCTATTTCCATGAGTTTTTTTGGAAACCCCAATTTTAAGAACAATGGAAACTCCTCAGATACTCAATTTGGAAGCAGGTAACATCAATGAATAGGAAATGGTATGACACAAAAATGCAGAGAAATATAGTAAGTTAGCAATGGAATCATAAATTAATTGCTAAAGAAATCGTACTGTTTTCATTACATATGGAGGGCTTATCACTTCAAGCCCACTGGAGATAATGCATGTGAGAGAAATTGAGATTGTCAGTGACCACTGCTACAACAATTCTCCTTTTTTCTCTTCTTTCACTAGTACTATTTAGGAGCCTACGTGTTTATTATCTTCACTGGCTTCCTCCTCATCTTCTTGGCCTTCACCTTCTTCAAAGTCCCTGAGACCCGTGGCCGGACTTTTGAGGAAATCACACAGGTCTTTGAAAGACAGACCCAGGAGGCCAGAGGATACGGGAGAAGCCCCACCCTGGAGATGCATCCCTTCCAGCCTGAGAAAGAATCCACCCCTGGCATCTAAACCTGCCTCTCACCCCCTCCCTCCCCGGGGAGAACTGCCTCCTCAGGAGCAGCCCAGGACTCCCCTGAGGGCTGCTGCTGGCTTCCTTTCTTGGTCCACACACTCCGTGTGCATGCCACGCCAGGGCTGGGCATCGTTGGATTTTCGACGGCTTTTTACGCAGTTCGTTTCTTGCACGTTCTCTTCTGTCTCGGAGCCACCACGTGAACCTGCCTTCATTTCCGGAGGGCTTGGCAGCTGGCATACGACAGCTTGGCCAGTTCTTCCTCCCTTGGGTCCTGATAGTGCCCCACCAAGGGACATGGGGAGGAAGAGTAAGGTGCATTCCCCCTCCTCACACTCACCAGGAAGCAGCTCCACATCTGAGTGTGGAAGAGGGCAGTGGGGGGGCAACACGAGAGCACCTTCCTCACTTCCACGCAGCTCTGCACAGCAAGGCCCCTTGAGTTGATTCTTTGGTCTTCTGGTTTGACTGCAGAAAAGCATATTTTTCAAGTGTAGAGTAATTTTACGAGATGAGAACATAAGGACATGAGAGGGAGATGTTTCAAGATGTTTTCATTTATGTTTCTGAGATAGGGTTTGTCCTGAGTGATTATTACCTAGTTTAAATGTGTTGCTGCTTTAGAGTCATGGCACGGTTATCTTTGTTACCATGCGACTGTGGTACCATGCTAAGTGTCCTCAGGGGACTCGAATCTTTCCAGTAGACCACACTTGAGATTGTAGAGTCAGTGCTCAGAGTAGCCCACACTTGAGAGTATGCATGTATGTGCACTGTTACTTTGCTCTGGGTGGAAGTAGTTTATTGGTGACTTGTTTCCTCCATGTCCTCTATGTTCATTCCTACAGCCCCCCTTTGCATAGAATATATTAAAGCCCATCCTGTCATCCCTGTGTATATCAATGACGCTGCCTCTGCTGGGTAGAATTTGCATTCAGAGGAAAAAAGGTGTGAGCTCAGCGCATCTGCCCTCTGGGGGCCCAGGAGGGTCCTGTGGGGGAGTGGGAGCATAACTGCTTCTAACTGGAGTGTTTCAGGGGGTGAGAGGAGGTGGTGGGATTTCCTCCTGCCACGGGTCACAGACGCCCCCCCCCCGCCCTCTCCTAGTTTGGCAGTATTTTTATAAATGGATACTGGACCCTGGTGACACTCACCTTTTCTTCCCTACTTCTTAAGTCGCCTGATCTCCATTCCCCTCCATCCTGCTTACACATTTCAGACCCTTTAGCCAAACCCTTGCCAGTAACAGTATTTAGTTGTCACTTCTCACCATTCCCTCCGGTCGTTGAGCCTTTGAATAGAAACTCACGTAGCCACGGAGTGGGGTTTTGTTAGAAGTGACCTTCCTCTAGCTGCGCCTCTCCTTCTGGATCCTCCAACAGCAGGTTGGCAGTGAGGCAAAGTAGCATTGTTCTCACTTCTGAGTGGTCAGATTGTGACTGTCTCCACGTGGGTTTTCTATGATAAATGTTACTGTGGTTCTTTGTTTTAAAATAAAAATTCTAAATATATATGACATCACAGGCCCATTATGTTGTATCCTTCTTGTAACTACATCAGCTTAAAATCCTGCCTTGGCTATTCAGCACCTGTTGCAAACTTGAATAGTTTCTTAGAGTCTCAGGCACATGAAAATAGCAATACATGTTTATTCTGCAGCTTAAATGAGAAAGTCTTTGTGTATTGCTTTTCATAGTTAATAATTTATATTCATGTTTCTGGTTAAAACCATTTTCTTCGTTTTGTTTTGTTTTGTTTTCCTCTTGTGTTCTTTTCTACTTGCTTCTTTTTCCAGTCTTTCTAAATTCATCCCACATCACTGTCAGAGATCCATATGACATGCCCTTAATATCTGTAGGGCATTGGTTTCAAGATCCCACAGCCCTTCTAGGCAAGGTCCCTACTAATCTTTTCAGTTTATTTCATAGCTCCTATTTCTATAAAGCACCTCATCCACACCTCCATTCCTGTTTAAGTTCTGACACTCCACATACCAAAAATATACGTATGAGTTTTTCTATCTGCTCAACCTGACCATGAACTCTATAAAGCTTTCCTTATTCCCCAAATGTTCTTACACTGTGGTATTCTGTGTATGTTAGAGGGAATTAAAAATGAAATACCTCTGACTGTCCCATATTCTCCACAATTGTCTTGGCTCCCTTTTCCTGCCTTTGCTTCCTTATAAGTCATTCTACATAATCAGAGGGATCTTTTAGAATCAAAGCATGCCATTCTCCCTGCTTGAAGCTTTCCAATTACACCTTACCACTTAAAATAATATCCTGACTCCTTTACCATGGCCAACAAATCTCCTCTCCTGGCCTAAAACCTGAGCTGGAGTAGGAGACAGTGTCTTTAGATGACAGAATCCACATAATGCCAGAAACCCCAATATAAACACTCTTAATGGGAAGACTGAAAGGAAAATACACATACACAAATGCATACACAGAGAAGGAAACAGTAATACTTGACCATATGAGGACATAATTAATGAAGGAAATTCTGGATAAACTCTTCAGTGCTAAATACAAAGACAAAAGGATTCATGAAAGAGGTTAAAAGACATGAAAGACGGGTAGGAAGAACAAAGGGGCATCTCAGCGTTCTACAAGAAAAGAACGAGGCAAAAGCAATATTTAAAAATAATCTTCTAGAACTAATAAAAGATACAGAAGAAACCAAATAAATCCCAAGTAGCATAACTGGAAATAAAAAATCGCAACAAATCATACCAAAACTTTAGTTAGAGAGGTACAGCATTGGCCAGGTGTGGCGGCTCACATCGGTAATCCCAGTACTTTGGGAGACTGAAGTGGGAGGATCACTTGAGCCCAGGAATTCAAGACCAAGTAGGGCAACATAACAAGAATCTGTCTCTACAAAATGTTAAAAAAAAATTTTAGCAGGGCGTGGTGATGCACACCTATAGTTGAAGTAGTCGGGAGGCTGAAGCAGAAGGATCAACCTGAGCTCAGGAGGTGGAGGCTGCAGTGAGCTGTGACTGGTGCCACTACACTCCAGTCTGGGTGACAGAGTGAGACCCGTATTCAAAGAAAAAAAAAATTGATTAACAACAACAACAAAAAAGTCAACATAGTGTAAAAGAATAGCATCAACATGGTAAGAAAAAAATATTCGTCAATCTGGAATTGCATACTATATAGAAGGTTGGTGCCAAAGTAATTGAGGTTTCAGACTGAATTTTAACATAATTAGGTTCAAACACGTCTTTATTAATCAAAAGAGGAACCATTACAATCAACACATTTTTGCTAAGAAACAAGTTTGTTTATTCCTGTAACATCAAAATCTGTGCTTTGGGATTCGGTGAACTCTTGGGAAGCATTTTCTGCATCCTGCTGGTTGTGGAAGCGTTTTCCCTGCAAAAAGTTGTCAAGATGCTTGAAGAAGTGGTAGTCGGTTGGCAAGAGGTCAGGTGAATATGGCAGGTGAGGCAGAACTTTGTAGCCCAATACGTTCAACTTTTGAAGTGTTGGCTGTGCAACGTTCGGTCGGGTATTGTGGAGAAGAATCGGGCCCTTTCTGTGGCCAATGCTGGGCGCAGGTGTTGCAGTTTCACATTGATTTGCCAACGTACTTCTCAGATGTAGTGGTTTCACCAGAATTCAGAAAGCTGCAGTGGATCAGACAAGCAGGAAACCACCAAACATTGACCATGACCTTTTTTTGGTGCAAGTTCAGCTTTGGGAAGTGCTTTGGAGCTGCTTCGTGGTTCAACCACTGAGGTGGTTGTCACTGGTTGTCTTATAAAATCAACTTTTCATTGCAAGTAATAATCTGATTGAAAAACAGTTCATTGTTGTATAGAATAAGAAAAAATGACACTTCATAATAATGATTTTTTTTCATTTTCGGTCAGCTCATGAGGCACCCAGTTATTGGGCTTTTTTTCCTTTCCAATTTGCTTCAAATGCTGAACAACTGTAGAATGTAGAAGTTGAGTTATTTGGCAACTTCTCGTGTCGTTGTAAGAGGATCAGCTTTGATGATTGTTCTCAATTGGTCATTGTGAACTTCCTATGGCCGGCCACAATGCTCTTCATCTTCAGGGCTCTAATATCCTTTGCAAAACTTCTCAAATTGCCACTGTACTGTATGCTCGTTAGCAGTTCCTGGGCCAAATGCGTTGTTGATGTTGCAGTTGTCTGCTGCATTACAATCCATTTTGAACTCTAAGAAAATCACTCAGATTTGCTTTTTGTCTCACATCATTTCCATAGTCTAAAATAAATATAAAATAAACAGCAAGTAATAAGTCATTAACCAAAAAAGTGAGAAATATGCATTAAAATTCTGTGTAACATAACTACATTTATTAAGAATGTATTCCATGGCCGGGCGTGGTGGCTCAAGCCTGTAATCTCAGCACTTTGGGAAGCAGAGGTGAGAGGATTGCCTGGGCTCAGGGGTTCTAGACCAGCCCAGGCAACTTGATATCACCTCGTCTCTACAATAAATCAAAACATAAGCTGGGCGTGGTAGCATGCACCTGTAGTTCCAGCCACCTGGAGGGCTGAGGTGGAAGGATCACCTGAGCACAGCAAGGCTGCAGTGGCCATGAGCGTGCCACTGCACTCCAGCCTGGGCAACAGAGTGAGACGCTGACTCAAAAAAAAAGAAAAAAAAAAAGAATGTATTCCAATATCAAATGGCAAATTTCAACTTGCAAAACCCACAATTACTTTTTCAACAACGTTACAGCAACAACAAAAGAATAAAATGAAAGTATTTTCAGACAAACAAAGCCTGAGAGACTCTAACACCAACAGGCTTTCACTAAAGGAAATTCTAAAGATTCAGGAAAACTATCTCGAATGGAAGGTCTAATGTGTAAGATGGAACCTAAATTTTAAAAAATTATGTCATGTGGTTAGAACCTAGAACTAAACTCATGATAAAGGCCAGGAAGATCATAAATAGAGCTAAAGCTCATTATCAATTTAAGTCTACATGCTGAAAATTGTTAGGGTAACCTCAAATAGAATGAGGATAATTT